TGTTTGAACAAACTTATTCTTGAACTCACTGAACAATCCATTCAAGTATATAAAAGTTATAACTATTTTATACATATGATTCTTTTGATAAATTTGAACGAAACAAAAATAAAATGATTCACTTCTAAATACTTTGAAAGCGTATGCTCATGAAAACTTTAATGAAAATCAGAATATATATAAAAAGGAATTTTCCGGATATGAGAAATAAATATAATCTGTCAACCATAAAGTTGAACGAGATGGAAACTGAAATGAATTCCTTGGAGATAGGAATTCATTATTCGATTAACAATACTGATATAGGGAACCAATCACAAATAGGTGAATACGAAGGTCAATCAATGGCAATCAGAAGTGACTTAAAGGGCAAGCGGATTTCATTATCTAAGAAATGTATCAATTTTCTAAGGACTAGAGTGGTATATATATGAATGAGTATTTGTACATTTCATTCAGTCGCTCAATATACTTTCTCACTCAAGTAGTCAGTTGGTGTGGTGTTAGCACGTAGCACACCGTGTATCAGTATCAGCTTTTGGATACCGCCCGTTACAACAACTATCAGTAATACTGATACATAAGTTCAGTTCGATCACCTTCATCACCCATTCACTGATGTTTGTTTATTATTTACAAGCATACTAATAAAGGAAACTGTAAATACAACTCACCAACAATATGAATTACTTTCACTGATTAACGACAAATATCATGTTTCACTAATCTTTTATTGCTAATCGAACTCCATCGATTACATTTTAGTAATTCTCACTTTGGTGTTCCTTACTCAGATAGAGAAAGTTTTTTTTAAGAAGTCCATTTGGATTTTTCCCAATTACGGATTGAATGTCAAATGCTTACAACCAAAAAATCTCGACGACTTACTCACTGATCCCCGTTTCATAAATATTATTTTATTTTTAATGATCTCTCTCTCTCTAAAGAAAATGAAAGGTTTACTCTATATTTAGTAATTAAGACAGATGGCGATTCAACTCACCTGGTAACAGCTTTGAGAATGAAGTGATGCCTAGATAACTTTTAGTAATATTATACTTTTCCGGCAATGACTTGTGATAGAGCAGCGCTACATATCAGATAAGACATTTCCCTAAAATGATCCACGCGTTTGGGATAATTCTGATTGGCTTCTTGAGGTTTCTTCCAATCGTCCTTTCTATTTACCCAAATGTGGTTACTTCGGTTATCGCAATTTGAATAGTCGTCTGTCAAACAATTTGTAATTACCAGTAGCTAAAACTCAAGTATATAAGTTGAATAGAGAATATTTCATGAGTAGAAATGTCAAACATTTCAACTTTTCTAAAATGTTACGTTCTTATTTTCTAAATACTCATATTTTGACACACCTATATTATGTAATTTATCCTAAATAATTTGGAGACTAAAATACTTGGCTTATGTGATCTAAATTGTAATCGTTTTTTTCCGCTTGTCCCATCTATATAAAATCTTCATAGTCAAATAGATCAACATTATGTTCAAAGATAAAATTTCACTTTTTTGAGTAATAATTTCCATATTAACCTTCATCTAATAAATGAAAAAATATGAGATGACATTCAAAAATTTGATTGTTTCCATAGTTTCGGATATACATCTATGCTGTCAAGTGAAACTTAAAGATAATGGACTGAGTAACATGCTCTTTTAATAATGTTCTTTATAATATGGACATAAAACAATAGGTGTTGTGAATAGGCATAGACTATTAGTAATCTCTATGTTATTGATACCGAATCAACATCTACCTATTTGAAGAAAAACAGAAATACTTTTACCGTTCACACTATCTGGATCGGTCAAGGTCCTTTGATTCAAAGTTGCAAAGAACAATTAGAACAAGCTTTTGTCTTCATCCGGTTGATAATCGTATGCTTCTCCAAACGAAATTGTGACTTCTTAGATAATAATAATTTCACTTTTCAGATCGATTATATTGTTGGAAAAGACATATTTAAAAAAATGTTTTTATTAATGACAGAGGAAGTGAATATTTGGAAAAAAATACTTTATTTTCAGAATGAACTTCAGTAATTGAGACAATCAATTCAAGAACGAATAACTAGATAATAAACAGGATCACCATATTCCATCTCTAGTTTTTTTATAAAATATCATGTACATTTAAAGTTAAATTTATGCTAAAACATTTGTAAAACAGTATGATTAAGTTAGTATTGTGAATCAACCGCTAAGTGTTCTACGTTATGTTACATTAATAATTTCCTATGAAAAACGATCAACGTTTCGGTCAGTGAATTAACTAGTATAAAATTCCATAGAACTAGTTTTATATAAAACTGAATTGTCTTATCGAGTCACACGTGGTTATCCTCTTTTTCTCAAAAATACATAACTATCACTTACTCTTAGATGTAAATCCGATATCGAAAACACTGGTAGTTGGGTGAAACATATCACTAAGCACCTTCTGAATTCATATTTCAAACAATCTATGCAATTAACTCATAAACACATAAGTGCAACTTAACAAAGTAATGATAATAGGTCACCATTGCGGAACATCGGTCAGAGTTGTTTAATTTAGCATTAAGTACTTACATAAGGTTGTAGGGCTAGGGAAATATCGCTAATGCCTAACGACAGGCAGGTCACTGAATGTCAGATTATTCAACGAGTCTTGTTTGGACCAAGGACAACCGACGCGCACCAACTAATTGCACGCTATGGACTGGCCAATGCAACAATAGTCACACATTGTTCCTTCAACCTATTATTACTAATATATCTCTTAAAAAACGTCACATTTGTTCGATACAGTCACCAAAGTAGCCACCATACCTGGATACCAGGAAAGGGTCTTCAGTTTTGGTGTAAAATGGGAGGTTTGACTTCGATGTAAGTTAGGAGGTCACACAATCCCTGTCTTACTCGAGTAACCAGCAACCATTCACACAGATCACATACTTTGGTGTTCTATAGGGTTTTAGATCACAGAAATTTCACAAATTAGATGCATGAAATTTTGATAGTTTTGAGCGTTATTCGTAAGCGATCTTCAATTCACTTTAAAGGAAGGTAGTTTTAGTGTTCCATATAATAGAAAAAACAGTTACACAATGTGATTTTTAACAACAGTTTTAGGGGATATGAATAAATTATTTAGTTCACAAAAGTGAGATTGTAGCCAATATATTTTGTTCTTTGAATTAGATGCAAAGACTGATTGTGTGGAAGTCGTTTGTCGTAGACTAAATGTGCTTATCTTTTCAGCTAGTGTTATATATATAGAGATGAATGGGATCAATGTCCTACGTTCAATTTAGTCAAAGAGTTCACTTGATTAAAAATGTTTCACCGAGTAACGAAAAGTTTATGACTGATTATAATTAATAAACTACCGAGAGCACGTTAAACTCGAATGATCATTGATGAATGTATATCACTATTGTCTGGTTTATGTTCACTTTCTTACACGAAATCTCATCCATTAGTTATAAATTAATAAAGATACAACGATCTGCTTAAACTCCATCAGAAAATTTAGTCATAGAAAAATTATAATACCTTTACCCTTACAAAACCCTGTATTTTTTTTGAATTATTTAAGCCTTTAAATAAACTAATTTGGTAGATAAGCAATATTATTTTGGTCCTCGATAATATATACATACGCCTGTATAGATGGATGGATGTATCAGCTTATACATTTATTTCTCTTATCCGCTTAAATATTAACAAGTTGCAACTATTGATTGTTCAGTCGCACATAGACACATATTTGTTTGTAATATTCATTCATTCCCTTCGTGGTATGCTTGTTGGTCATATATATAATTGAAGATATTTTGTCGAAACAGTGTTTTACTTTCTGAGAATGATACACCGTCGATAATTATGATATCATTTGTCCGATAGATCAGTATACGAAGTATGAAAATAATCACAAATATATCCCCATCTTAATCATTTTCATTAAGTCATTTACTAATCCAACACTGTGACTGAAATCTAGATGAAGACGTCAACTTGAATTTATCGCCAACTTACAACTATTTCAATAAGTTAACCATTATTAATGTATGATTGGTTGGTGATATGAGATTTGAATTTTTTTTAAAAAGAAATCTCTGATCATAAGCAAACATAGATAGTAGCTAGCTGTAAAATTCACGACATACGTTTCATTCTATTTGGGACTCGTCAGTCTGATGTACCTGCATCTCAGAGTTGATATTCACTTCTGTAACTCAAACCTAATATCATTCGTTTCAAACACCATGTCATTATCCAATATAAACAAACTCTGATCAATTACAGTTCTAAACATCCATACGAAAATATAAGTAAACAATATCAAATGAATTGAAAAATCAATAATCATTAATGAATTTATTATTTTATTTTAATATTTAATTTATCTATACAATGTAAATACAGTATTCATTTGAAAAACAAATAATAATCAAATCATTCAATATTTACCTTATTCAAACAATTAATTACAATCAAATAATTAATAAACAACACTATTGAATATATGATCTATTTAAAGTTTAATTATTAATCAATTTTTATTATTCTCTTTCATTAATTTCTTTTTTTTCTTTTTTTTGAAAAATAATATTTAATTAAATAAATAATTTAAATAAATTAATCTTAAAATAGTAATAAAATCAATAATTATTTTTTTATTGATTATTGATTAAATTAATCAATGAATTATTATATAAGATATACATGTTAATTTATTGATTTATTGTTTATCATTTAGGCACATATATATAAGAATGTAAAAAGTAAATAATATTTATTATACAATAAATATAACAAATAAAACAGTGAAGACTTTTTGTTAAAAAAAAAACAAAAAAAAATGAAATCAATTTATCGATCTTTATTTTTCTATTACTAATAAACACGATTATTATTATTGGTATTAGTATAATTATTGATTTATTTATTAATTTCAGTGATTTTATTTATCAATCAATAAAGAATACTTTGTATTCTTAATGAATTCTAGTTAATGTAAAACAATTTAAAGGACGACATTTATTTGGTAAAACAAGATTATTCAATTTATCTGTATAATTAATCATATTTGTAGTTAATTGATGTTCATTATCAAGATATATTTTATTTGTATGTAATAAATTATTATTATTTTGTGATAACAACGTATTATCTGTATTATAGGCAGAATGTAATGTGAATGAGTTCATTGAAGTGATACATGGAATGAAATTGATTGATGATTGTTGTTGTTGTTGTTCATGTTCATTGTGTGAAGTTAATTTGTGCAGTTCATTTGTTAAATGACGATCATGATATTGGGAACAGTTAAGATTATCTTCAAAGTCAATTAAATCAGGGTTTTCACATTGTTTTACTTGTATGTTTTGATTTGTTTGACAATCATTTTTATTTAAAACACTCATTATTTGTTTATGTTCTAATTTATTGTCAATATTATTAGTGTCATTTAATCTTTCTTCTTCTTCTTCTTCATCACCATCATCATCCACATTATCGTCTTCGTCATCATCATCATCTTGTATTAGATCGTTTTTATGTGGTGATGTTGAAGATGGTGTCGTTTGACTTATAGTAAATTCATCTGGATTGATTTGACTAGATTGACTGTCACATTCTGAAATGGAATTGACCAGCATTTCTGAAGAACCACAGTTAGAAGATGAAATTAAACCACTTGTTAAATTGTTATTGATATTATTATTATTTACAGTTGTTGAAGTATTCTCTTGACGGACTAAATTACGTCGATATTTTGCTCGAGCATTTTGGAACCAAACCTAAATTCAATTTTTTAGAAAGATTTGAACCCGTTTAATGAATATATATATGGATAGAAACCTTTAAAAACAAATATCGTAAAATTTTCATTACATTTAGTGTATGATGGGAATCAGGAAGAGCACTTGTATATATGGTTTATATTCCTTAGCAAATTAATGAAATACTTTGCCTCAGAAGTTTCAAATAAACTTTAGTTGATAAGTTCAATTAAATACATAAAATCTAACTGCATATAACATTCTTTTTCATGTCAAGTAATTTAAGAGACTTTCTTTATTACAACATTGATATAACATATCATGAATTGTAATCAGAGAGCGGTTTTTGTGGAAATTATAATAATTTAATAGTTGAATTGATGGATCACTTGAAGCTCAGTATTCTAGAGGTTAAGCGTTCGCGCGCGAGACTTATTGGTCTTGTGTTCGAATCCCGCGAGGCGGGATCGTGGACGTGCACTACTGAGGAGCCGCACACTGAAGCGAAGCGGCCGTTCAGTGCTTCTAGGTTTTCCAAGGTGGTCTAGCTTCGATTGGCTCATAATCTTATTTATCCCTTCTGAAATAGTATATTGTTATATTATTTAAATGCCTAATAATGAATATTTCCTATTTGAATCATTTAACAGTACGCTATTTATTTTAAATTCATATGTAAATAAACATTAGATAAACAAACCAATATAAACTTTCATGGGAGCAATTGTAGTGAATTAATTTTATACTGTACAGTAAACGTTCGTTTTGTCTTTATGCACAAATTGGTCAAATAGCTATGAGCTTACTTTTAAGCTTAGTTTTTGTTAAGTTCTTTCTAATTGAATCAAAGAACAAACTCCTCAGAAGATATTGAAGAACAAGATTTATGCTGTTGTTATTATTATCGACCAGAATATCAATGTTGAAAAATGTTTGTGTTTTTTTTTACAGTATTCATTTGGTAATCACTTTCACTTGTTAGAAAGAGTGTAATAATAAATCAATTTAAACTTGTTTAATTTCAAATCTGATTGGTTTATTCATAAATAATTGTACCGCTGCCTTTAGACATAAAACAATTAAATTTTGAGAAGTCAAGATTATCAGTAAGGGAATTTATGGAGATTGTAGTATTTTCAAAGTTGAATTCACGAGTCGATCTAAGCTAGATCACCATTGAAAACCTGGAAGCACTGGATGGTCGTTTCGTCCTAGTATGGGTTTCTTTAGAAGTGCGCATACACGATCCCGTACACGAGATTCAAAACCAAAACCTTCGGCTTCACGCGCAAACGCTTAACCATCAGGTCACTGAGTCTTTGACATACATAATTATATATAACTCCCTTCAACGTATCCAATTTAAAAAGCTGTCAAATCTAATACAATTAATACCCATTTGTATAAAAAATATGACAAATAAAAAAGGTTGACCTACCTGTAGAACACGTTTTGACAACCCTGTCTTCTCTGTCAATACCTTTAAATCTTTAACATCAGGATTATGGTTTATATTGAAATAAGCTTTCATTGTCCTCAACTGATGATGTTTAAAAGATGTACGCATACGTTTTTGTCTGGTGGTAATGCCTAGATAAAAATTTGTCCCATTGTTGAAACAATCGTTTTCTATGTTTAAAATAATAATCATAAAAATATTGACTGGTAAAATAAAATGTAGAAATATGTTGATGATTTAAAATGCAATTAAGATATCAACTTTATTTAAGTTCACTTGATATTGTTTACTTGAAACTTTTCATTGATGTTTAGGACTGAATTGATCAATCACTTATTGGCATATGTGCATAGCGTGAGTATTGCCTCAATATAGCCTTAATTCACAAGCATTCTAAGCAAAGATGGACAGTGGCTAGCAGTGGAATCCGCCGTATTTGGGACTCATCAGCTGGAGTGACTGTCAACTGTGAGATGCAGGTACATCCAGCTGATGAGCGCTAAATAGGACGAAACGTGCGCCCTGGATTCCACTGCTAGCCACTGTCAATCTTTGTTTACAAATTTTATTTATTTTTGTGAAAATACTGTATAAATAATCGAAGTGATAATAATTTGATAAGCAGGATTAAGTTCAACTACTCATCAGTTATGATTAAGTCGTGGTAACAGCCAAGACATTTTTACAGAATTCTGTTGACCAGTGAAAATAGTTTGTTCTACCTTTTTAGATAATCATGTGTATTTTTATTTTAACTTGATAAAATGTCGATACTGCTACTGCGGAACAAGTGCTCTTTCCTATTTGTTACAACGGAACAAACTGATATGGTTCGATGTAGGGAATAGTGCAAAACTAAAGATGAGGATTTATCAATGCATTAAATACCATCGTAAAAGTGACCAAATTTTCATCAAAAATCACAATAAGATCCGGTCAAAAGTTAAATTTGAATATGTTGAACTGGATGTAGTTGACATAGATTAATCAATGATTCAATGTATGTATGTACTTGATAACCTAACTGTTTTAACTAACGAATGTAAATAAATTACTGTGTTACATTTTCGCTTCTTCCCGGAAATTTTGTTTAATGTAAAATATCTAAAGGTCATCAGAAGGTTACTCTACATTTTATGATCACTAAACGTAAACCAGAACTGAGAAGTAGATTAATACATCGATTACCGTTTGGAAACAGATTTGGATATGCAACACACTCTAGAAGAGAACTGATTAAGAGTAAACTATTTCAATTCCTACATCTATACCCAATGAGGCAAACGAATGAAACTCAAATGTCACACCTTGATAATGAATCCTTATAAACTTTAAACTGGTCTCATAGACTCCTATTAACATATCCTGTTAATTTTTGTCGACTGTCTCCTAAATAACTGGTATAAAGATCAGATAGTAATTTCGACCTTATAATGAATTTATAAACATTTATCTGAGATAATTAAAATTCCGTAAAGTGAATATATATTACGTAAGTTACTTTATTGATCAACCAAAACGGTCTTTAATAACTAAAAAGTAATTTTCACTTAACACTTTAGACGAACAATTTATTTGATGACTCAAATAAACGGACTTTATGGCTTCAAGGAGATTGGTTTATTATGGGAAAACCCCACCAGTTGTGGGGTGTTCTTAAACATTTCGGGTTCACCGTTCAGGATCAATACCAATCACTTCGAGTTTTTTCAATTTAGTTTTTTTTTAAAAAGTTTACCCTACAAATCATAATCACATGGATATTTATTAACAACCGATGTAGCGTTCCAAACTCATACATTAGTCAGTCACAGATGGATTATTATTAGTTCATCAGTTGACGATTAATAACACATTAATTATATGTTATACTAAATAAATTCTCGTTAATGAACTATCATAATCTTTGTTTATTGAATATGTTTGTCCAATTTCATGGTAGAAGTAGGATATATCCAAAATCACCCATGTTTTTATATTGAATTTACAATTAGCTTATACATATGTCATATTATTAAAACATCATCTATTGCTCTGAAAAAGTCACTAATAAATATCAAGACAGTTTACCATTATTTATTTCAAAATGAATCAATTAATAAATGAGTCAATGTTTAAACTAACCAAAAACTTGATGTATACCACTTCGACGTTTACGATTTCTTTTTTGTTGTTGTACTTGTTGAATTAAATTGTTTGAATCTATTGATTTATTAAGTTCTAACGGGTTTTTTGAATCTATAAAATCAACTAGTGTTGAGGGATTATTACTAGATAATAGTGATGAATAATTCAACGGAGAAACATCCAAGTGTTTATGCATAAATCTGGTTCCTGATGAAGGTGGAGATGATGATGATGAATTATGTGGTGGGAGTGATAAAAGGGGTGTTGAAGTGTTCGAGAAAGTAGGTGTGCTGGCTGAAGTAAATGATATGCTGCAGCATGCAGAAGAGAGATATGAAGATACTGTTTTCAGTGATGTACAGATTGGAAGGACAGAGGGTGAATAAGACGAAGACGATAAAGGACAAGAAGAGCATGAAGTTTCGTGTAAAGAAGATAGCCTTTCATTTGAAGAACCATTTTCTACTTTACGTAACGACTGATTGAAAAGATTACATGGTAAATATGATGAGTTATCGTGTAATAAATGATGGGATAATGGTGGCAAATAATGAATTGGTTTATGGGATAAATAATTGGGAAGTAATTCGATTGTTGAACTGCCTTTACCAATCAGGGGAATAAAATATGAGTTAAATCGACTGTATTTTTCATCTTTATGTAATTGCTTATCGATAAGACTGTTGATTGGTGATTTTGATTGGTGTTGCTTTACCCCATAATCAGTGAAATTCAGTCTGTTACCAGGTTCTAGGATGTCTGTTCGAGATGAGGATTCTGTTGGTAAGTCTTCTATGTCGGGGTCGGTATCACGAACTGAAAGAACATCACTATCATGAATATAGTTCAAATTTGTATTTTCATCAGCTGAATAAGTCTGACTACTCAGTTCTTTTAATTTTCCCAGATCTCTATGATCACTCTCTCTTAAACATTTTATGCCTTCACATTGATCCGTACAACTTAAGGATGAGTCTAGTTGATGATAAGATTGTTGATAATGTTCCCAACATATCGGTTGATGACTGACATTATCCAACTCATATCGATCACCACATTTCATTATACGATGACAAATACTGCAGCAAAAGCAATCAGAATGGAATATTAATTGATTTATTGATCGTACTATTAATTCATTTGAACTAATTAATTGCTTACAGTATGTGCAGACTGGTCTTGATTTAAATGATCCAAAAATTCTATAGAAATAATTTCGAGAAAAATACGTGTTAAAGGTTCTAAAGAACATGAAAATACTTTAAAATGGAAAAAAATTCTGTGAACATCAACAAAACATTATTTTTAGTTTAAGAGATTTGTGGAGGATGTTGAATTCTATTGCTTATATTATGAGCTGACCTTGGCTAGACAACCATAGAAAATCGAGAGGGACTAAACATCTGTTTCGTCTTAATATGAGACTTCTTGATAGTACGCACTCACTATCCTACTGGAAATCGAACGCAGGACCCTCAGATCTTGCAGTGAGCACTTAAACTTCAAACTACTGAGGTGGAATCAAATGAATTATACTTCTAACTTTCTCCAGATAATTTTCATTTGGATAGTTGAATTCACGAGTCAATTGAAGCTAGACCACCACGGAAAACCTGGAAGCACTGGACGGCAGTTTCGTCTTAGTATGGGACTCCTAAACAGTGCGCACCCACGATCCCGCACCCCGCAGGACTCGAGTCCGGGACCTATCAGTCTCGCGCCAAGCACTCAACCAACTAGACCGCTGAGCCGGAATCCAATTTATTGAATAAAAAGCTGTGGTGATAAATGAGTCAATGATTAAGAGTATCACCTAAGTAATTGACAACTAAGACAAATATTGTCATAAGTTGACCTGACCAATATTTAATATTATCCCTTAATAACTTGGCTAAGCTTTCATTTATTGTTAATTGGCAACGTTTAACTGAATAAATTATTGTAACTAACTTTAAATTGTCACAATCATGTTCTATAGTTGACTTCATGTTAAACTACGTACACAGAATAAAAGTTATCAAAAACCACAAAGATAAAATAAGAATGAAAATGAAAAAGCGAAACAGAATCAATAAATTTAAGGAAGAAAACAATTAACGGTTACATTATGCTAGTCATTATATTTGTTTACGAAAACAGCTAAATTGTATATGAACTATTTTGTTGTATGAATACTCAATTTTGTCAATCAGTTGTTTACTTATGATCTTATCAAATTATAATAATTGCATTCATGAGTTGATCTAAGCTAGACCACCATTAAAAATCTGGAAGTAGTGGATGGCCATTTCGGCTTAGTGTAGGACTCCAACAGTGCGCATCCACGATTTCATAAGCGGAATTCGAAATCAAAACCTTCAATTTCGCGCGAATGCTTAATCTATGGACCACTGAGCCTAAATCCAAAGGTGTTAATGTTTAACTTCAGTCGATCATGACCTTACACAACCCTTCATTCACTGTCTAAGGTGCATACATGTCTCTACGGAATACGGATTGGACTGTACTGGTCACAGGTAGGGATTGTTTTATGTTTATTCTGGTGGATTTTTAAAACACTAGAATTAAAATAACTTTAGTGTACATTATTTAACTTTAAAATGAACCCTCATATTACGAAAAAAATAGTTGTCCAGTGCTTTCTGATTTCCGATGATTATCTAACTAAGATCAATTCGTGATTTATATAACAGAATTCAACAGTCTCCATAAACTTTTTAAGGCTGGTCATAAACTCCACATTTTCAAGTCAACTAAGTGTATCATAGTCAGTAATTGGGGTTATGTTTTCTTTTTTTTAAGTCACTCAATTGTGAATATTCCGAAATAATTTATATTCTAAAATTAAATGGAGATATGACTTGTGCTATTTTGTAATTTTTCTTCTATCATGGCTGACTGTCTCACATTTGACATATCCGTGGCATGATGGAGTGGTGTTTTCGTCGTAGAAAACTTTACATTTTCCACGTAAGCCAGCAAGAACGATGGATAATAAAATATGCCTTCCAGCATGGATCACGATAGTGTAGATAATAATTTCCTCTTCATTTTGGTTGGTTACCAGGTGCAAGGTCACATTACAAACGAGAGTGGAGTTTATCCTTACCTACTCCTTACATTAACAAAAATTTTGATGTCAGAATTTCGTGCTAGCCCAAAAAATCTGGTATTACGGATAAATGTTATTTCAGGTCAAATTTTAACTGACTGACTCTAGAATTACAGGATCATAATTTCTGTTAGTTAAATATTATATACTTATTAATTCGATTGCATAAGCCAGTAGAACAGTCAACAAAAGTTGACTTTTTAAATCCCATCATATTTATTGTCTTGAGTTCACTGTTCTACAATAATTCATTATGGATATCTATACTACTTTACTGATATTTCTCTAAAATAAGGTTTTTCGCTCTTTGAATTATCTACTTGATAAACATATGTACATATTTATATCATATGTACTACAACATCAGTGAAGATATATCTCAGTAAAATCGACAAATGTAATACTAACAAAATAAATATAATAATAAATACTTCAATCCCCTTTGATTGGTAAATTCAATCTTATTTTTTGCCACTCCCACTTTCAAATCCATCCTATACAACAACATCTTAATTGTCATCTTCAATTCTGTTAGTTGTCGCTAGAAAACACTTTTGTAACACCATTTCAACTTAACTATTGAACTATACATATAAAGAGAGAGAGAGAGAGAATAATGCCTCTAGGGTAAATCACATGAGAAATGTTTTGATATTTTATATGTAAACCTTAATTGTTGTTCTTCTTCTGTACACAATAAAAGAAAACATCTATTTCAGATCCCCGCAATTACAAAAAGAAAAAAAAATAGAAGAAACAAACTTTTAAGATTAATAACAACGATGACCAAAGTTGTATGGATGGATGAATGTTGAAAAAGGCAACAAACAGAGAAAGTTTATTCATTCTATGAAATAGAACATAAAAGAAAGAAAATAATTTACGAAAAAAGAAACTCCATTGTTGTTTTTTATCAAATCATGTTTATATTATTGACATGTGCACATATTATCAACATCATCAACATCATCATCAATATAGACTCCCCATGGTGAGTTGAATAAGATCCACTAATGAGGGATTAGTTTTTGAAAATAAAAACACAATAAATAATGAATGTATATTCGAATAGACAAACATTTTAAAGTAGATTATTAAGCATAGAACACAATAAGTAGATTTTCTTTGTTGACTATTTTAATGATGAAAATATTCAAAAAGAGAAGAAGAAAATAAAAAGAAGATACATCATTAGTCATGTGAATTGATCATTCACTAAAGTAAAAGAAGACTTTTGTGTCCAATTGAATTTTTTTTCTTTTTAAAGAGAAAAAAAAGGGATTTATTACGTAATAAGAAGAAAAAGAACTTTTTTTCAGATTATGATTAGGTATATTAGATTGTAGTTAATCTAGAAATATAGAAACAAACTATATTCTCATATATATACAATTTTTTTTAATTTTTTTTTAAAGATCCATTTAAATCATTTAACCGATAGTCACCTTTTTTTTTTTTTTTTTAAAAAAAAAACTAAAAAAATTTTTTTCTTTTTGAATTGAACTAAAAAGTTATCGAAATTAAATCAAGTGTAAACATTAAAAAAATATATAATACACAATGACAAATTATGATTATCATGTTAATGGACATTTAACTATGCATCATATATATCCGCTTACAGTATTATGTGTATGTGTTCATGCATCAGTGTGTATGTAAGTAAACACATGAGATTATTATTGAATTAAGAATATTTTTTTTAATGGTTAAGATCATGAGTCAGTTGAAGCTAGAACATCATGGAAAACTTGGAAGCACTGGATGGCCGTTTCGTCCTATTGTGGGACTCCTCAGCAGTGCGGCATCTTTGACCTGGCCCCCTGCGAGATTCGAACCCAGGACCTATCATTGTGGATGTGTACTGCTGAGGAGTCCCACAATAAGACGAAACGGCCGTCCAGTGCTTCCAGGTTTTCCATGATGTTCTAGCCTAAATTGACTCATGATCTTAACCATTGAAATTACTATAATATCCACAAAATTCATCTACTTTTTTTTTCATTAAAAAAAAGTTTCACTACTCATTTGTCATATAATAAATAGTTAAAACAATAAATAATTTAATAATTGAAATCATAAGTTAACTGAAGTTAAACCGTTATGGAAAAAATCTGAAAGCACTGATGATCTAGCTTCAATTGACTTATGATTTCAACTATTGAAATGTCTAAAATCTTCACAAAACCCCTTCGGAAAATAATTTAATGTTAAATTATGTATATATATAGTGTTTGTTTTAATAAATGATTCTATGTTATGAAAACATTGGTACTTTTAAATAGATTTGTCTGTTCTTGGTTGTTGTTGTTGTTGTCGTTCTTTTCTTTCATTGACTTTATTTAACATTTTCATTAGTTTTATTTATAATAATAAAACAAAAAAATATTCATGTAAATAAAACTACTGAAAACTATAATGATTGATGATAGATGATTTGTCTTTGAAGAAGAAGAAGAAGAGGAGGAGGAAAAACAATTTTGGTTTGTTTTTGTTTTGGATTTACTCATCCATTCTATTACTTTTTTTATTATTCTGACTAATTGATTGATGAAAACCGATAGAAAATACAAAAAACATATATGTTTAATAGTTTTTTTTGACAATTTCTTATAATGTAATTGAACAATGAAAGTACACTTAATGACATTACGGTTATTAATTACTTAAAACATAATGAAGTTTTTATTTCATATACAGAAATATATGAAGAATATGTTAATTAATTCTTCATACTTTGTCATGTAAGTTTCTTTTATTTATTTTTATTTGTTGTTCTTTTAAAAATTGAATCAAGGATTGGTTGAAATTAGACATTAACACCGTTGGATGCCGGCTACCTCAATGGTCTGAAGACCGATAAACCCGGGTTCGAATCCCGTGAGGCGGGATCGTGTATGCGCACTATTGAAGAATCCCGTCCAGTGCTTCCAGATTTTCCATGATGGTTTAGCTTTAATTGACTCATGATATCAACTACTGAAATTACTTTGATCTCCATAAAACCCCTTCTGATACTAAAAAATGTATATGTTTAATAGTGTGATTTCACTGTTTCAATCTTGTGGATTCTACTAAGAAATCATGATT